TCCAATGTCGAATTGAATACGGTGAAGTGTGTCGAACTGTGAGCAGAGTCTAAACAGAGCAGCTAGTAATATTGTTGTGCTCAGTCCTCCGTTGCCATAACTTCATACCTGTAGCCGGTGAGGCGTTGGTCCGTCTGGGTTTTGATTTCAACGCCAGCATACGGGCATCCATCAACGCCGAATCCATAAGTAAAGTCGACGAATTTCACTTGTACTTTTCTACCAGCTGGGGCCTTTATACGGAACTTTTGGATTCAGTGACCCATAATTTTTTTGTGGTCGTCACGTACCTTAATCCAATAATGGCACTTCACAAAGTCCTCACGCAGACCGTAGGCCCACCAATCACCTAGCTCGTCTACGAGCAGTGTCCACTGATCGGTCGCATTCAGTACTTGACCGCAACTTGACCATTCTGATGGCTGAATCAGATTCCTAGAATTTTTATAAGGCTCGAGCTGTTGGAAGGACACTCACCTCTTCGTCGCAGAACTGCCCACCGTATCCGCCAGGACAGATGCATCTGCTGCAGTTACGAGGATTAGGGAAACCATCGTTCTTGCAGGTTGTGTTATAAACTTCACACGCGTCTAAATTACAACTGGATGTGAGCAATTAGAGCTTGAACCGAAGAAAAATACCACTTACCGATGCAGTTGTAGTGCTTGTTGATCATAAGTAGATCGTAGTACGAGATGAAAGGAGATCCCTAGAGTCTCCGTGTATAGCTCGTCCTCTCTGGGCAACATTGTAGGCATTCCGGTTCCAGTGGCGCTAAAGAAGGGTTTTAGTCTTAAAATTATGCCCTCACAAACTCCTTACCTTGTGGCTCCGTAGTGCATCAGACTACCGTAGTCGTAGGGCAAATCATAGTTGTTGTTGGTTGCCATCGTCTCCAGGGTGAACTGACTAACCCAGTCCGGCTAAAATCACCGGCGATATTATAACCAGTTACCAGCTTTTACAAAACTTACCATAATGTTTTCTACATCAACATATATGTATCGGTCACGGTCATATCTTGCGTGTGTATGGAAGAATCCGAGGGCATGACCAAGTTCGTGAGCAGCGGTTCCAATCTGGAACAGAATGAGGACCAAATAGGTTGAGGTTGCTTGTTCTTTTTGAGAATCTACCATGGCCCTGCATCATACCGATTCACAGCCATAACCGAGTGAAAGGTCCTGCACACCGCCAAGTCTGCCAATGTAAGACCAACATCCGTCCGCCGCGAACACTCGAATGCTGTCCGGATTATAAAAATAAGCTGAAACTCCACTGCTTAATAGTTTCTCATTATTGGCGATTGTTACAGCTTTTTACCAAAGCTGTTTTCAATATGTGTGAAGTTGATGCAGGTATCAGACATCCACTGTTTCGCCGCTTTCTTGAATACGCTTTTGACCTGATCACCTGAATGTGGGAAAACTGCTGCTAATTGCTTAATGAGCGAATGAAAAACAGCTCCTGACAAGAAGTAGTAAACTCCTTGGTGCCATCTTCTGCCAGGATACTGTAGATCATTGTAGGCCTGTCTTTTGGTACGGGTTCCAGTGATGTCGTCAGTAACTCGTTGTTGTTGTTCTCTTAATACGATGCTCATTACTATATCCATATGAAACGACCTAAAGACATTGCCGCGATCAAGTATTATGGGTAGTGGATGCTCAACCATGAACCAGCAGCCAATAAGTGACTGGCCCCGAAAGCAGCCCCTTCTCGACAGCTGCAGAGCCTTGTGTCAAGTTCTCCGGACTTACTGGCAACTCGTCGCTCTGCGGCTCCTGTACAACGCGGGCTCACGAGTCGTTTCTTTACATATTCCAGAACTAAATGACATTACTACTGAATGAAAAAGAAATACAGAAAGACTGGAACATGAATAGCTTTCGAAGATTCTATGCATGAAATAAGGTTTGCGGTAAGCAGTGTACGACGAGCTTCTGCACAAATACAGTTGCCTCACTGCCGCATTTAAAAGCAGGGTCCGCGATAAGCAGCGTGGGTGATGGTAAAAATCTATCTGAGGAAATTCGCCAAGCGACTCATGTGCGAAGAGAAAAAGCCAAAAAGTTGGTAACGCACTTGATGGTGTTCCTCCAGTCTCAAACGATTGTTCGGATAAAAGGCCGAACGACCGCGCGCTGGGTCAAGTCCCGTCTGCTTGTAATGAATCCTGTGATCCCACGGAGTCATCAGACCAACCAGTTCATGCAGTTTGTCCGATAGCATTACTTTTGGCTGGGAGGCGGACTTTTGAGGCGGAGTCAGTGGAGAAAGGGAGGTACCACTGAAGCAGCTTTCACAGACAACTTTCGGTCGCAAACTGGCAAAGGGTTGTCCACTGCGGACCACACTACGTTCCCACATAACCTGTTGCATATTCATTGGATATCGTGGACCTCCTTTGAGCAGCACCAAACGCACTACTGCATACACGTATATTACCATGTAAGTCGCTGTCTTGCATACTGAAGATAAGAAGGTCTACAATTGTCAAGCGTCGGTGACTTCATCTCGCCATTTCTAACGACGAAATTGTTACCCTTTCTATGGATGCGGACATGGATGCTTAATGCAGGGAGGCCCTCCACCGACCACTTGATTACAGGAACTGTCTTCAAATAATTGAACGTGCTGACTTAGAAAGGACCATATCTCCTTGGAACAGAGCGCCTGCAATTTTGCTTCTTATGTTGATCTCTTCAATAGAGTCTCCTGTGGGTGAAGACTTTATCGACGGTTTTCCTTTTGAGCATCTGAAATAGTTATGTTCACAACACTTATACTATGGTAACCACGACCTGCTTACCTTCAGTTTTTCCGTTAGCTTTTTTCTTAGCTCTGGAGGCAAAGTGAGCTTCTTCAAAATCTTTTCTTTGTATGCTGCCAACTTGCTTCGGAACTCGGCCATGTTTTCTTTGAGAACCTGTGGATATTTGTGGTGTTTGGGGGCGTATCTACTACTATTACTGAAGGAAAATTTTACCTGTTTTATACGATTGATGGTATTTTTGATTTTGCTGGTCACTTTTTCCTTAATAAGGCCTTTGATGCCACCGACCGCAATGGATTTTTTAAGATCAGAGAAGATGGAAGCATTGACGCACACAGCCACAAGTAGAGCGAGTATGAAAGTCCTCATTCTGGAATAGAAAGCTGGATTGCTTCCACAGAAGACAAGACCGTTGTAAATGAACAACGTGCCGGAGGATGTAGCTGCTTCCTTCTCGTCGTATTCATACGGTCATGATATTGACATTACATGGAACTGTGGGATGTCGAGGCAAATCGTGATGGTGTCGAAAAAACATCGCTACAGCTGCTGCTCTGGCTCACGCAACATTACCGGAATGTAGGTGGAACAGCCAGCGAATAGATTCCGCGTTTGAAGGAAAGAAAGTATCACAACTCTGTATCTAAAAGCCGCAAGCAGTTCTTGATGGTGATTGAGAGAGGCACGATTTCACATGTCTAGGGTCTCATCGATTCTTAGTCTAGGGTCTCATCGATGAAACAAAGGCATTTGGGACAGCTTCTGACATTGCGATATAAAAGTGGACAGTACACGTCCAAGTAAAATCTTTTCAGAGATCTTTTGACTAACTCCCGTATAACTATTAGGGTGGATAAAAAGTGTTGCATTGCTTGGGAGGTAATTTAGATGTTCCCTCAACGGTGGAGGATATCAGTTAACAAGATGGGCAGCTTTCGTTTCTGCTCTCTTAAAATCGCGGTGACTGGTTTGAAAAAGACCACGATCTCAACTTGAGTTGGCAAGAACTGTCGAATCTCTCATTTTTCAAGTGATGCACTTGGGCCATAAACGGGGGTAGTCAGAAGCTGCTGATCAGTCAGTTCAATATGGTCATAATTTCTGAGCGAAATCCAGCATTCTTTTAAATGCCGTCTTATCCTCATGCGGGCGCTGTCACTCGTGGAGTGGGAAGACATCCGGTTCCTGTGGGCGAAGTTGACATGTAAAGCTAGCCATCTTTTGTCCATTAGACTGGACTATGCTAGTCATCACTGCTGTACCATTATCCAACGGCAAACCTTCCCAGCCCTACCAGCAACGCATTGGAAGTTTTTTTTTCCATGGACATCTTCTTTTGCCTTGCTTTTGCAGTAGACAGCGTTTCTCCTTGAGATATGCAATCGAGCTTACGGTTCACGCTGGGCAGCCGAATTTTTCCATTGCAGTATGCTTGTCACGAAGTTCTTCCATTCGCGCAGGGCGAAGAAAAGTTTCAATAGACGTCACTCAAAAATGGTGGTACTGCTGAGATATTCACTGCTAATACCTTTCCGACAACCGCTAACATGGATATGCTGTGGAATGAAAGCAGCCTAAGGTTGATCGCTGGTGAGTGTTATGATAACTGCTGTTTAACGCCGCAGTACGCGTTCCGAAT